ATCAGATTTTCGAAATAGAACAAGTGGTGAAGAACAAAAGGATGACGCATATCTAGCGATCCTAATAAGAGCGCTCGTGTGACCTTTAAATTATGACTGCCAATAGTGTAAGACGGGAGATAACTATGACCGCTCTTATTCGGATCGTTCGTGACCTCATTTTTCAAACTACTCTTATATGACAGCTCTTATTAGGATCGCTCGTGACATTTCATAAAGTGATTCATTTCTATCGCTTGAATAGTTTTCTCCTTGTATTAAATCTTTCGTATTAAAAATATATGTTGAACAAATATGTCTTTAATAAATGTCCATCCTCCTAAAACGTATTTCGGTGCGGGAGGCATTCAAAAGTCATTGGGTTCTCTTCCTGGATTCCCATGGACAAAATATCCCGGAGAAAAACATCTCCCAGGGCACAATTATACAGGTCCAGGCACTAGGTTAGATCTGCGTTTAGACGAAAATGATATTCCCAAACCAGGGGAAGAACCCGTTAATAGAGTTGACGCAGCAGCACTCAAACACGACATACTGTACAGAAATAAAGACGTAACATTCAGACACCAAGCAGACAAACAAATGATAGACGAACTCGAAAATATTCCAAATCCCACTTTCAAAGAGAAATTACAAAGGGCTCTTATCATTAAACTCTTGAAGGCAAAATTGAAATTGGGTATGGGCATAGCAGACGAGATTCACAAAGAATTTCGAAAAAACAAACATTACCTCAAGTCAAAGTTTTTGATAAAGATAAAATTTGGTCAGCCGATTTAATCAACATGCCAGTCGAGGGAGGGTACAAGTATTGTTTGACGGTGATCGACATATACACGAGATACGCTTGGGTCTTTCCCTTGAAAAACAAATCGGGTCTGACTGTCAAACAAGCATTCGAAACCATAATGAAACAACCCGACAGACGACCCCTAAAGTTGTGGGTTGATAAAGGAAGCGAATTCTACAACAGAAATGTGAAATCTCTGGGGTTTGAAATTTACAACACGCATAACGAAGGTAAAGCCGTAGTGATAGAAAGATTCAACAGGACTCTTAAAAGCAAATTATTCAAGAAATTCACGGAATTGAAATCTCAAAAATGGCTTAAAATATTACCGGTTGTTGTCGACGAATACAATAACAAAATACATTCGTCTATAGGTGTGACGCCATCCCAATAACCCGAATATCATAAAGTCCGTCAACACTCGAAACAACTTTGAAAACGAGATTAGCAATTTGAATATTAAACCCAAATTCAAAGTTGGAGATCGAGTTCGTATTTTTAAATATAAATCATTGTTTCAGAAAGGTTACGTCGGCTATTGGACTAACGAGATATTCATCGTTGATAAAGTAAACAACACATCACCTCCCACGTATGAATTGATCGATCAAGACAAAGAACAAATCATAGGAAGGTTTTATCAAAATGAACTTCAAAAAACTGACTTTTAAAAATGAATCTCGAAAATGAAGATTTAGATGAAAGGTTAAGAAATTTAGATGTCGACAAGCATTTACGCTCTCTTAAATTAAGATTTAAATGTAAATTTATCTTCAAATATTATTGAATGTGTTTTATCAGAATGTTATACACAGTTTTTTCAAACACAAACTACGTATATATTTCGTCAATTGGGTCTTCAGCAATACTTTCCGTCTACTTCGAAAAACACCTAAAAAAATCGACTTAAAAAATGAATGCGTTTCTCGATAAATACGGAAAAGACACGACCACAAATTTTCAACTTGTGAAATGGGCCAAGGAGTTGAACGTCTCGCCGTTTTATTATTGCATGCGAGATGAAATTGATCAACTGAAATACAAGAAAGGTAAATTTTACGCCATCACAAACATTCACACCTCGGATCAAAAAGGAGTTCATCACTCTGCTTTACACAAAGATTCTTCGAATAACTTTTATTTCTTTGATTCTTTCGGTCTAGAACCGACAGAAGAGATCACGAAATTGACTAGCAAATCAATCAAATGTTCTACGTTTCAAATTCAAATGCCAGGACAAAAGCTGTGTGGTCAGCTGTCGCTTTGGGTTTTATATCGGTTGAGTTTGGGAGAAAAGTTTGAAGAAATTATAATAAATTTAACTCAATAAAAATGGCAAACAAGTTTGGATTAGGGTCTTTACCTCTAGAATCTAAAAATCCCATGAGTTCTACGGCGTTTATAAACAAAGCGAAACCTTTTTTCGTGGATCAAATCGGAGACACCTTACAAGGGGATATCGATATGAACAATTTCAAAATAACTAATTTAAAGTTTCCAGGAAACGATAACGATGCCGTGAACAAGAAATATTTACTGGATCAAATAAACGCAATTCAAATAGATAAGGACCATGTTTTAAAATAGAATAAATGACGTGAAAAGATTCATCAGACGAAATATTAAAAATCTTGTGGACGAACCCAAACTACAACAAGAGTTAACGAGTTTGAAACGTCTTATTTAAGTGGATAAAACAAGTGAGTTGATATCTAAATTAGACGATAAGATTACGAAGGTAAAAATAGACGTCCAACGTTTAATAGACAACCCAAATGTAAACGAGGATAGATTGAAACGAAAACTATCCGCTTTGGAAAGAAAACTTGGCGAATTGCTAGCAGAACTAGACAAGACCGCGGACAAAACCGAGTTACAAAATTCGATATCCAATTTGAACGAAAAGATCGCGAAACAAAAATCAGATGTTCAAGATATAATTAACACACTTCCCATTGACAAAGATACGTTGAAACGACAATTGACTGCTTTGGATACTAAAATCACGGACGAATTAGAAAAAGAAGTGGGTGTGATTAAAAACTTTCTTCAAAATAAATTTCGAGATGATATGAAAAATTATATTAAAGAACAGGTCAATCTTTTGGTATCTAGAATTCATGACGATTTTTTGAGACAAGAGAGAAAGTTGAGCAAATTAGAAGCTATTGTCACGGACAAATCGTATTATTTCAATCTACCATTCGAAAGTGACACTGTCTTCGATAGAAAAGACCAAATTTATAAATCAAACAAATACGGATTCAAAGCAGAAATAAAAGTAGGTACTCTCGCATACGGAGAACCTAAAAACGTATTCGATATCGGCGAAACACAAGAGTTTTCTTTTCGAGGTAATTGTCTGATTCAAATAGAGTTTCCCATGAAGGTTAAAGTCAATAAAGTAGTCTTCAAACAAACCGGTAAGGGCGTTAAACATATTTCATTATTCAATGATGGTAATTTGGAAGAGAATATACGTTTGATTGATAAAAGGGATCAGGAAATTGAAACGAAAAATGGTAAATATGTAGACACCTTTAAATGGAAGTAGAAAATGATAAGGATATCATTGGAATCAAAGATTTGGATATGATATTGGAGACGGAAAATCCACCATCAACCAACATTGTCAAAATTCCACGACGCTTACACGAACACGGAAAAATAGAATCGAGCAGTCACGAGTTTTTACGAACAACAGACTTTGAATACGTAAAAAAATACACCTCTATCGATGTTCATAAAAGTCAACAAGAACGAGAGTTTATAGTACATTTAACGTTTGTCGAAGGTTCCGACTCCATCCTTCATGCTGGTGGTTATATTTTTAGAGCCAAGATAAACATCGAAAAAGAAAAAATAAAATATTCCTATCATCTTAAAGAGGACCATACGAAAAAAGAAATGTCGTTAGTACGCGTAAATGTTTTTACTTTTAATACCCGAATATTTAAGAATACTAGGCCAAACGACCACGCTCTATGGGATATTCCATGGTTCTATTTATCGGAAATTCACTTAATTTAACGACTTAAAAAATGGAACTCGAAAGCAGACAACAATACATGATAGACAAACAAGAAGAGTTGAAAATAAAGTTGAGACAGTACAATTCATGCAGGAAAACATGGAGTAGAATCGATTCTGTTTTCAAAACAGCGAGTGTAGTTCTAACGATAGGAACAACACTTGCAACGGCCGTGATTGGTGGATTAATGGTTCCTGTACTTGTCCCAACTGTATTAGCCACAATTACTGCTATTCAAACTTCATCTTGTGGCTTGATTGCTATAGGTTTCACGAGCAAAAAGAAAGCTCATTATGAAAAGAAAACGGATATCTTGAATATGTATCTTAATCAATTGTACATCTTTTTCGAAAGATCGAGAGAACATAACAGTTGAAGAATTACAAGAATTCAATGAAATTTTGGACAAATTCCATACAGAAATATCAGCGGTCAAAATAAAGAAATAATCAAAAATATACACTTAAAAAAATATGATTAAAATCGAACTTGATGAAACATTGATAGAAAACGCCCTATTTTCCGATGTTATCAAGGCTATCTCTGATAAATTTAAAACATTCAAAGGACAAATTAAAATAGATGGAGAGATAGTCGAGGAAGGGAATCACAGACAATACATGTCACTCCTCGGTTTCAATGCCAAAACCTTTCACAATATTTTTTCAAATATTGACAAAAAATCCGATGCTTCCGATTGGTATTTTACAGGAAAAATAATTTTAATGAAAGACAATTTCCAAGAAATCAAAAGATCGAGAGTTGGTAGAGGAGGAACTGATCTACTTAAAAAGATCAATGAATACGAAGGCGAAAATTGTTACATACCTACAGATGGTCACTGTTTTATCAAATGCGTCAATCGTGTTTTGAACAAAGATTTAACGTGTAAATTTCAAGAATACATCAACGAGTTTTCAAAAGCAAATAGAAAAGGAGTGATGACTTGTGCTAGAATGAATGAATTCAACAAGCAATTTAACACTTCGTTTCAAATTTATAATCCCAAAAACAGACATTTTCACCCCAGAGACGTTCACGATGAATTAGATTGGGTTTTGTACTTACACAACTCGCATTTCTGTTCGATTCGAAGAAGCCAAAAAAGTTTGGGAATTCAAGAAATAGAAGACAATTACGAACAGGTGTGGAAAACGTGTAGAGACGACAACGCAGTAACACAGGTTTCACCCCTCAAACTAAACGTGCTTTCGAGTATGAGCGATGATGCGTTATTCGCTTGGGATTGCGAAACGTATTCAGAAAAAGACACGCGAAGAGCAATTCCATATTGTTGCACTTTAATTAATTTCGAAAAACTAAGGAAAATGTTAAACAGAATAAATAATCTATTTCCAGATTTAAAGCCGTCAGATCCCCTGCCAGAAGAATTTTATGATAAACTAATGAATGTAGTAGAAATATTTGTAGGTACAGATTGCATCGATCAAATGTTGAAATATTTAGGTCAATATGATAGAAAGAGATTAATATTAATTTCTCATAACGGCAGTGGATTCGACAACTGGATCGTGCTTAAAAATGCAAAAAAACTAACGCATTGCCCTTTAAAAACACCCAGAGGAATTTTATCTTTTCCTTTATCTAATCTATACACGGATGAAGATTTACAGAAAAAATGGAAAAGACAGAAAGAAATAAAGGGTAATTATTTACAACATATTAATTTCACGTGTTCCTATCAACACGAATCCTCTAGTTTGGCTGCATGGGGAAATTCTTCCAATCTTCCCGCGAATTTGAGAAAGATTGCCGACGTAGATATCGCTAAATACACGCGAGACAACTGGGAGGAATTGAGACACGAATGGGAACCTTACGCCAAGAGAGACACTCTCTGTTTGGAAGCTTGTTTGATGAAATACAACCAAGTCACGAAAGAAGTTGTAAACCAGAATATGTCCAATAATCTAACGGCTCCATCTTTATCTTTAAAGGGTTGGTATTATTTATATCATTACGATAAAGAAATGGTGGAAGAAGAATGGTATGAAACTACTAGAATGGTTGCGAAACATTCGGAAAAACAAAACATGAAAAAGTTATTCGCACACT